ACATTTTAAGTTTTTTATAATTATTTTCAATTTCTATAATATTAGTAATATGTTTTATGTAATATTGTATATTAGGATTACCTATTTCAATAAATATATTCGTCTTCGTCTATAATTATTTTCAATCACTCATATCATTTTTAATTTTCATTACTTACATAATAACAATTTCTTTCAATATCATAATATTGAACATATAGAACATATTCTACACACATTCATACCTTATTACAGTCGTGGCAACTGAATCTTCCTGTATGCTGAGCCATGTGCAGAAGGAGCTGTCTCAATTTTTTAAAGCTTTTCAAACAGATATCACACATTAGTTGGTCATTCTCCGGTTCTTTGAGTTCAAAATCAAATTGATCCATGTTCATAATCGATTCTGAGTTTAACTGAAGGTTTTCATTTCCCAAAAGATGGTTTTGATTTTCAATATTCTCTAATGAGAACTCGATCAGATAATTCTGAGGCAATAGCAAACTTGGATTGTCTAGACTGTCTATTGTAATATTGTCTGATAGTAGGGGTCCTTCCAAAGGATTGTCTTTGGACATTTTCAGCTGCGAATTATTTTGTGACAAATCTGCTTCGGGCTCAGATTTTTTCGACGAATCTTCACTGTGAACAATTTTTTTATGTTTCTGACATCCCTGAAGTCGAAAGATATGATTTTGGACATATGTATAACAAACTAATGGATTTAGGTGTACCTACTTTTGCAGTTCTGAAGGTTGTATTACAAAATTGACAAAATCTTCCTGATTTAGCACGGTAATGGCCAACTAAATGTAACGCAAATTCTGCAAGGCTTTTATCTACTCTTCCACAATATTTGCAACACCATGTGTCTCTTTTGGTAACAGTCTTTTTATTTCTAACCAAATTCTCTGTTGCTAGAACAATTGAATTAAAAACAAATGTTACTCCTTAAAGATCATCCAAATCAACAATTTAAACTCACCTTCAGTAACAACTGCTAGATCAGTGATATTAGATTCGTCTTGCTGTATGGTAGGCATCAAAAGACTTTTTTGCATTTTGGTAGCATAATAGGGAGAATACCAAACTTTCAATTGTTCTCCTTCCAAAATATCCCTAATAGTCACATAATAAAGATCATCTCCATCCTGAAACGTATCCCTTGACTGGATTATAAATCCAAGCTAGGTAAGAATCACTTAATCCAATATTTCTACATTTCAGTCTGAAAGTTATAAAATTTCCAAAGACGAAAGAACATTTATAAACAATTGTATTTTCACTGTAAAGTATTTGAACACTTATTGCCTGTAATTCCAGAGCTGATGACGAATTAAGAGAAGGCACTCCATGTGTAATGCAATTGGTGAATACTTGATGAAAATCCGTAACGTATTCACTGGACAGTTTACAAAAAGGCAACACATATTCAAGTACAAAATCTCTTGAGCAAGCTATTGTATAGCAAAACACTTATTGCGTTCTTGTAAACTGTCCAGTTAGGTACTTGAATAAGAAAGCACTTCAGAAAGCTTGAAATGAATAAAGACTTACTATGATGATGTCCGTGAATCTAAAATACAAAAGTTTTGGAATGGGCAAATTGAAGTTATTTCATTACTTATAACATGTATTATTTGTAAAAACAATTATTCATTTATGTATATTTTCAGTTATTGTAGGTTATTAAACATTATTATCATCAGTCACTGCTGCACTTACTATATTTATTGTTGGGTAGGTTAGGTTATCGGTTAGATTTTGTTTTATTGAAATTTTGTCATGAAATCACTATATTCTGAAATAAATGGTGTGTCCACTTTTTATTTGTTTCAATATAAATAAGCTAAACTACATGATGACCCCAAGTTATGTGATCTTTCAATAACAACACACAGCCTCTGAATCACCGTCCTACCATGGAAACCAGGGGTTGTTTGCTTATGTATAATAATGCTATATTACCATCTACGCCACTCTTACGGTATTGATGAGACACCGGTGTTGCCCTACGCTCCGGGGGATATTGAATCCGTTGTGGGGAACGAGAAGTGCCGAATTTATTGGAACTATTCGTTCCCCACCCTTAAGCTCATTCAAGTTAACAAGTCTGATGTAGTCTTTCTCGACCACCAGCGCAAGACGATATTTGTCTTGGAGTTTTCAGCTCCTGGCAAGACTAATATCGTTCAAAAAGAGAAGGAGAAATGGATAAAATATCGAGATTTTCTCTTTGAACTCCGCAGACTCTATCCAGACCACTCTGTCAAGATGGTTGTTCTGATTATTGGAGTCCTTGGATGCCCTCTCTACTTTCGAATCTTAAAATCATACCGGCCTGCCGCACTAAGGCAGAAATCTTAGCCGAACAGATGCAGAAGGCTGTCATTCTTGACTCACTGCGCTTGTTCAGGGCACATGATTCTCAGACTCAATGATCACTTACCCCACGGTGTGGGGCCTGACCAATGCATACTTCGGATTCTTTATTTGCAGTCAGATAATAAAATTGTGTAAGAAGTGTCATTACAAATTTACATAATATAGCTTGAATATTACTGGAATTTTTTCCAAACACCAAACCGTTATTTTAAGACATCGACACATGTTTCATTCACCAAGTGATCGAAATACATGTAGAGGTGTTAAAATAATGGTTTGGTGGTGGTGGTTCCAAACAGTGCATCACAAATAATACAAATTAATAAAGAGAAGAAAAGGGGAAGGCAAGCTCATAATCTAAAAGTAAAATTAATCTGAGTTATTTTAAGACTTCCTGTAAAGTATGAAAACATTTTTTTCAATTAATATTTCTTTAATGATTTTTAGAATACAGAAAAACTCTTCAAAGCCTTCAAATGATCTGGAAGGTGGTTATATATCTTTGGACCAATGTATTCCGGTCCACATGACGTTTTTTTGAAGCTAGCTGAGGGTAAACGAAAATGTTGATGAAATTTCAGATTTCTTGTAAAAGTTGATTTGTTTTTGAACACATAAATACGCAGTTCAAAAATATAAACCGATGTTAGTGTTAAGACATCATACTCCTTAAAAAGTGCCTTGCCTAATTCTCTGTTTCAACAATTCGCTATGCACCTCAAAATACACTTTTGTGCTATAAAAACATTTCCTACTGAGGGGGATCCACCCCAGAAATAGACACCATACCGAAGTCTTGATTCCACTTGAGGAAAATGTATACTGTTTATATACTGTATATATACTTAGTTTACCTGATAACAAATCAAATTTTGTTCCTCAATACTACTTGCAGCTGCTATAAACATCATCCAGCTGCATTCATTTTCATTGCTGGTATCCAAGAAGTATTCGGAAAACTCATCTTCAGAATTACAAAATAATTTCAGTGGAAAATTAATTGCAGGTAAAAGTGTACACAATTTTTTAGCCTGTACAGGGCCAAATTGGATTCCTTTTTCGATATAATACGAAGCTACAACTGTTTGAGTTTCATCTGCCATTGTCCTTATTTCTAAATCATCGGGTAGTGTCAGCCTTGCTTTGGAAGGAATAGGTTTGTCTGGAATCTGAAATATTACAAACATAGTCATACATTTTATTGATTATTCCCAGTCTTCTTATTCGTCACTTCAGCCGTCGATAAATAAAATTTTGTAAATATTTGTAGAATAGACAAATTTACAAGAAAGTAACGTGCCTTTGTGGGTTCTTTAATATAATTACTTCATCGAATGTACTGATGTACTTTAGACAGAATCGAATATTCAAAAAGCATACAAGGACATATTATAATAACAATCATCTTTAATATTTTGATTAACATTATTGAATTACACCGTTGAAAAATGGAACAATGTTCAACTAATATAACATAAGAAATCCTAAGTTGTTCTTTCACTTAACCCTATAACATAATATCAGAAGACAATGGCAACAAAAAACTTTTGTACAAGATTCAATAGTTTAATATACATCAAGACAGAAACTGAAAAATATGTAATAGAATTGCCATTACTTGATAAAAATCCATAAACTATTCACTGAACAAGTTCAATAAAAATCTTACAATGAAGTGTTAATTGAATAAAAAATTGAAAATTTTTGGAGCTAAATATATAAAATAATGTAAAAGAATGTCCATATAGGACGAAACTGCAGTAACGTTAGTTACAATTGAAAGTGGTAAAAAACAGAAATTTTCATTTCTCTTTTCATTATGATCTCCTACCGCGTAGTAACAGCTACATCCATCAATTTATCTTTCAAAGGCTTTTCTAATTATTACTACCAATACATTTTCTCTACTTCTGTGTCTCATTAGTGGATTTTACTTGATTTAATATTGTCTGAATGCTACTGAAAAATAAAAAAACTATACAAAATGAATCGAATGAAAAAAGCAAATCACTAAATTTGTCTAGGAACATTATCGTCTTCGAATAAAATTTATATAGGGATATGACCGGTCAGTAAGTATATATGTGAATGTTATTAATGTTTCAGGAATTACATCTGAAGCCTTTCTCACATCCTTTTAAAATGAAATAATATACATATGATTTTGTTTGATATGATGATGTTTGAGCATTTGCAACTTATCAAATAAAAACAGTGTGGCAATTGAATTTTCTTACATACATCTTAAGAGAAACCTGTATATTGATATACCTGCATTGAAAAGTATTTGCCAGATCGTTTATGCATAAACTATAGAGTAAAGAAAGCAGAACACCTCTATCAAATTTCGTCAGATGGACAGTTAGCTCGTCACCTATCTTTTTTTTAAATAAGTTACTATTGAAGGATTTAAATGATAACTCACATGCAACAACAAATACAATTTGCGATAGATAGATATCATGAATTTAAATAAAATAATGTTTCTGATATTGAGTTCAATAGTACTTACGTGAGAGACTACACGAATTACATTACAATCCATTGGAAAATGATTTGCTCCACATATTCCACAAACTGGATTATTTATTTCACATTTTTCAGGAGTTTTTGCTGTTACTTCTGACAGAATTTCAACAAATTCAGAACTATCCATTGTAAATAAAAGACTAGTGGACTAGGACGCAGTATTTCTTAATGTATGGATATAATATTCTTCGATATTTTCAAATTTTTTTTATTTTGATTAACCTTCAAAACAGTTATGATTACCCAGTGATGCCAATAATGAATTAGTAAAATACCCTCAGCCGACAGCTATGATTCGAAATACCTGACTTTACCTACATGAAATTTTAAAATACCTGCATTTTACCCAAAAACTATGTTAAAAATTATCAAAAAGGCTAGCGCATATGACGAAATATAGATAAATATATTTTCATGTGTGGTCAATATTTCCTCTGTTATCTTGAAAGAATTTGAATGTAACAGTTCTCAAATACTCGGTTAGACTCAAAAACCCAATCAAAAACAACAGAAGGCAAAACCCGAAATTCTAATAAAAAAAGCGCACGATGGCCACACTGTGTGTGATTATCAATTCCTCTACTTTCAATCCAATGGGAAGGTGCGACATTTAATAATTTACCATGACAGTTGTTCAATGGTGTGAATGAAGTACATCAGAAAATTAATGTTAAGATATTCTCAATTATGAAAAAAGATAAACGCGTTTGTCAAACCCAATTTGAAAAGATCACAGAGTGGGCTATTGGTAAAATCATCACGATCAACACATTTTTCGGATATGTAATTGTTTTTAGATGTCTTTCTCAAAAAATTATGCAAAGCACAACATACCAATATTATATTATCAATATTTTCTGTGCTCAAGTTGATAGGCTGTAAAAATATCCGAAATTGTGAAGCCAATATTCCAAAAACATTTTCCACAACTCTGCGAGCTCGGCATAAACGATAATTAAATATTTTTTCATCATAAGATATGTTTTTTTGGGAGTACGGTTTCATTAAATTTTCCATCAGTGGAAATGCTTCATCCCCAATGAAAACATGTGGTACCTTATCATCTGTTCCTGGCAATTTGGTGGGGCTTGGTATGTTCAGCTTCTTTGCGAGTAAACGCTTACATATACTTGTTTGAGACCATATTTCTCCATCAGAGACTCGTTCATTTGTTCCAGTATGGACGTATATAAATTCATAATTTGCATTTACTACAGCAAATAGAACTACACTATATGTTCCCTTATAGTTATAGAAATATGATCCACTGTTGGATGGTTTTGTTATATTTATATGTTTTCCATCAATTGCGCCCAAACAGTTATTAAATTGCCAAAGATTCTGGAATCCATTGCTGACTTCTTTCCATTCAGCTTCTGTTGATGGAACCTAAAATATGTCCATTATGAAACTAATGCAAACTAGACAGGGCTGACTGATTTTTTTCTGCTACATAGATATACACACGCGAAACATTTAAATGTAAAATATATCGTAATATTTTTTTATTTCCAGTTTTACATTCATATATTCCTTACTATTGATAAATTACTAATTTTTCTATTTTTTCTTTCAGAGTAACTGTTACACTGAAGGAAACTCGATATTGTCACCTATCAGTACCACATCTAGTACTGATGTGATTTCACAAAGCTCATTGAAGTCCCGATTTGAAACAACTACCTCAGTAACACCACAAAATGTTTCCCGAAAGAGGACTGCAACAAGGAAAAATAATTGGCTCTCTATGATGCTGCTCATAAAGTTTTGTCCGGTGAAGAAAATGTAGATGACGAGTTTAATATAACGGGAAAAAGATTTGCATTTCAATTTAAAAAATTGGATGATCAGCAGAGACTCATTGCGGAAAAGTTGTGGTCGGACATCATATTTTACGGCGCACAGGGAAAACTTCAATTAGACTGCACACTAAAGTTTCCTTCAAAGAATGTGCTGCAACGTCAAACGAATAACAAATATACTCCTATAGAATCAACATTTCTATCGCAACAGTATTCAGAAATGAGCGGTCAATCAGATTTATCCCCTCATGAAATCACTAAAGATAGGTTAAACATGTTGACATCAAATCTATCAGTATATATTTCACTTCAGCCGCATAGTGCAAATTGTGAAGAAGATAATTATTAAATAGGTACCTATACTGTTTTTTGAAGCTGAATTATTTCCTGATTTTAAGTATTCGCTTTAAGTTTGACGAGAATTTTTTTCTTGTCGTTAGGTGTGGATGAAAAATGGCTGGAATGCATGTCGTACGATTTTCTTTACGATTTGCAGTTAAACATGCAGTACGAAAAATCGTAACGTGTGTAGGCCACTTTACTCACCAAGGTTTCAGCTATTTTAAACGCGTAGTTGTTATGTTACAGTCGTTTGAGTTGATGTGAATGTTTTCATGAGAATGAACGAAATTAAGTATCGATTTGTCATCGAATATCTGTTTTTGAAAGGATATACGTCTACGTAAATTAAAGATTAGTTGGATTCTGTTTATATGGACTCTGTACCATCATTTATCACAGTGAAATTTTGGGCAGCTGAATTTAAACGTGGCCTTAAAATCTTGGGCGACAATGAACATTTGGAATGTACAAAAACTGCAATTACCGACGAAAACATCGGCAAAGCTCACAATATAGTGCTAGATGACTGTCCAATTGAAGTGAGAGACATAGCAGAGGTTATGAACATGCCAAAAGAGCATGTTTGTCACAATCCATGTTTTATTATTTTCCTCATATTGCGCTTTCAACAGGATTGATTCATAAAATCCCATGCCTTAAAATTGTTACTTTGAGAAATTCTCAGTATTCAAATTTCGATTGGAGTGTATACCTATAATTGTTATCCCTCTAAATTCTTAAGGACCCATTAATGATCAGTTCACCTCGTTGCACTGCACTGCAATCCATCACAAACCTCATGAAATATTTGTAATTAGTATAATTGTTGAGTTATCCTATTGTATTTGCCCTCTTGGGGCAAATACAATAGATTGCCCGTGAGATTAAGTCTGGTCCTGTACTATTTCTTTACACTTTAATCAGCCTTCACAATCGGCTTCAGTAGCAAATACTTTGAGCTGTAGGAACTGAAGGTTGGTATTTGTGAATCTCCTCATCTATTGGTTAGACCTATTAGATCTCTGACCAATGACGTCCTTTCATCCCTAAAATGTTCTCCAACCATACTAAGTTGACCAAATCATCAGGTTGATATTGTAGTTTTAGAAATGTGTAGTATAAGTTAAAACTTTGTATCGAACAGTCGCAATAAACATTTATCTGGACTATCTTCGCATTTCTTTTAATTTGTGTGTGACTCGAATACGGACGATAAAACAATTGTATATCAAACAACATGTAGGCGTGAGAAAACTGTCCGCACGTTGGGTGCCGCGGTTGCTCACGCTCTATTGGCGCAGTTCATGCGTAATGAATCCGAGTTTTCGGGCCGAATAATTGCTGTGGAAGAAACTTGAATACACCGTTATACGCCCGAAACAAAAATACAGTACAAACAATGGACTGCAAAGGGGAAACCAGCTTTTTCCGGCTAAAAATTACACTCGAAGGACAGCGGAAAGAATAACGTCGAGTACTTACTATCTGAGGGGGTTACAGACATAGTGGTATCATTGGGAGAGCTGTGTAGAGTTGAAGGAGAGTTGGAAAATGAAAAAAAATACGAATCTTTGTTAGGTCGAAAACTTTCAGACCACTCCCCTACTTTGATGGCGAATATATTGGTAACTTCAATTAGTTTCGAATCAGTACTGAGCAATTATAAATAGGAATGTTTCATGTTACTCGCATGACGACAATAACGAAACTACCCAACATTATTAGCGATATAATTTCATTCAGACTCCTTCATTAACATCAACATGCTAAACACAAATTACTTTTGCACTTGATGTACGCACCCTACATTATAATTTTCTTGAAAGATTTATCGTCAATCGTGTTGTTGAGGAATAACTGCATGTAGATTGCATGACGTTGGATGCATCGATGCATCCTAAATAGGTACCTACTTCTTGAGAAATGTGCGCAGAGCGGAAGTATGTGAGAAATGACCGATTATTATGGGGCGTATTTGTTTGGCGCCGCAACGTTAAACTATAAATTGTTAGCCCAATCATGGTAACCTGAAACAATATCGATGGAGATGGTGATACTTGCATACAAATGATTTCAAAAACTGTTGAAACTTCAACGTCAGAAAGAAATGAAAACATATTTGTGTATTTGGTACACAAATTATTTGAAAATATTCAACGGCTGTCAATATTTTTGTTGTCTATAAGATTCATTTCTCTTATTTTCTTCATTTCAATTTGAAATTGAAACAGAAATCTTCATAAATTCAAAATAATTACTTCAAAGATGAAATGACTCTTCAAATGAGGTTCTTGCTGACACACGCTGAGTTGACATCAACAAAAATTCAATTATTTGACCAAAACGTTCAGTATCACTTTTTTAAAACATCAATAATTCGTCTCATTTGAATTTGTTGTTATTATCCTTTCACTCATCGAAAATAGCCCTTAGTTATAATACTGAGTGCCAAAGAACCGAATGAAATACTTTTCATTCTCAGTTACCCTCCTTCATTATGGCTATTCAAAATATAATAATTTTTGAAACTGATAATAATTCCGAATAGGCTGTATTCCCCATCAGCCCAGTACCACTGGAGATTCTGTTATTCCTTTTTGGTGTTTCCCTTCTAGTGGTGTTGTGTTCAATTGTGTTGTTTTAGTGATTGTTTGAGTACCTTTTGATTTTGAATCGTGGATATTGAATGTAAGTGATATGTAACGAACAACTCTACTTGTTGTAACGATGCATTGAAAGGTATTCCTGATATTTGAGCAGAAGTAACAAAACATTCCAGTAGTTTATCGGAATTAACTCGTGTCCATTCATGTCTTTCCCAAACAATCAATACTCAGAAAAATGAACATGGTCAAAAGATACATGTAGTACCAGACGTGTCATTTGCTATTGCAGCAGGCATGCTCAGTGTTTGCAATGATTAAGGTAGTAACCCAAAGTCTCATTAACGGTGGACTGAAGCCCTATGCTCTCTCTTGATTGGTACACTCATACTAGGTAGTTCTAATTGGTTTATCTTTCTGAATAGGTGTACTACTGTCTTGTTAACAATCTGTTTTTATCGAATTGTTGAATTGCTTATAGACATCGATTTTTTCCCTATGA